AAGCTCGAAGAGACTCCACGATTTGTCGGTAACACAAATGGTTAATTCTCTGAATATATGTGCCGATACGTACACGCACAAGGCAACAATGAAACCGGTTAAAAAAAAAGGACTCAAGTCAAATAACTGGATTCGCAACACTTATACTAAGCCAGGTATTTTGCTAGAACTAACGGAGTCGACGACGAGTTGGGCGACATCATCGAAAAAGGGGAAAAATAATTTATGGCGTGAGTTTAAGTCCCACGACAACAATCCTAGAATCCTATTACCTGTCTTGTCCCACCAAAGACCCCCATTGGTGATATTTCTAACTGTTTTCCCACAAGCAGCCGTAACCCATTTCCTCAGAGGCATTTCTATTGTAGAACACTAGAACTCCCAATTACCATCTTCAGTGAAACTCCACGGTCCCCACCATCTCATCTCCATACCCATCTTCACTTCTTCACTTGGTGTCATGATGTACTAAAGCCAATCCGGGTCTTGGACAAGGAATCGTTCCTGCTCGGAGTTCGGGGCTTCCAAAACGGGGCTAGGATGGTGAACCTCTAGTGGCTGCACAACATACTCTCCACTGCCACAGCTACTGCCCACGACTACGTCGTCCTTGTCGAGGTCGTCAACTATTTCTTGGAGGAGCGCCCCATCGACTTCCAGTATCATGAGCTCAGCTGCTCCGTGGACGAATCTCTCGGAGGAAGCCATGGAGAGAAGCGGAAAGGAGGGAGCTCAAGGGAGGAAGGGAGGGAGGGAGGGAGGTAGAAGGTATTGGGTGTTGCAACTTGGCAATGCTCCATGCTTTGATAGAATGGTTAGGGCTTGGGACTCCTTATATAGTTCCGTGTAGGATTTCGTAGATGGTATTCTAAACTTATCCCAACCTAAGTTTTCGGACACACTTCGGATTCTCAATGGGTTCTTGATACCCCTGCGCTTATTATCTTCCTATATGTTCATAATTTCTCGAAGAAAAATAATCTAAAAACGTGTAACAATATCTTATCTTGATTAGAAATTCACAATCAAGAAAGATGAGATTTATCCAAACCCCACAAAATTTCAAATAAATTCTGACTGCAAAAAGAGAAGCGACAAAAAAGATTGTGGATGTTGTATATGAATACACACGAGTACAATCAATATCTATATGTGGATCGTAGTATATGAAAGTATGTGAGTAATCTTATGCTTTTCGATATAGCAAACACATTTCAATAAAATGGCTCTCCTGTTACCCGGAAGACAAATTTCAAACCCACCTCACACCACATACGGGTCTTGCAAAATGGTATTGTAAAACCTAGTAACGGCAACCCAGTCAAGTCCTGCTAGGGTTCAGAACGGATCGACTATCCTATTAGAGTTGACTCACTGCCATCTCTACATATTGGCATTGTAAACTTCATGTTGCTCGACGTTTATTCGAAGAAGAATAGAATTTGTATTGACATGAGCTTAATTATTTAAGATTAAACATAAGCAAAAGTAATTTGTTTTCTGCTTTTTTGTTTGAGTTTAGAATATAATCTAGGTTTAAAAATGTTTGCATGTCAAGAATTATAGTGCTGCGAAAGTTTTAGGTGCTCCGGATTCAAAACAAGTTAAAGTGGGTTCCTTGAGAGCTTAGATGAGAGCAGAAAATGAAAGGTAAAAACCTATTGAATCGCGTAATTTCAAGTTAATCATGCTTGTTTTTTTGTCCGTTTTGTGTCTCTTTTGATGATTCTATTTCCATGTTTTTCGACGTCACAGAGTTTGCGCCGTGGGCAAGAATCATGATTGTTAGGTTCACGCTTCTTCTAATTAATGATACATCCTGAGGCGCTTTCGAACTAATCACGCATATGTGCTCTTGAGCAGTGCTTCTCATATAATCGAACTATCCGGTCCAGTTGTGTCATAACCAGTGTGGTCACCATTTAAAAGTTTCTCTCTGGATCTTCCCTTAGCTTCAAGTGTTTCCAAAATGTTTTGAAATCATATTTATCTGGGTCCCCGAAACTCTACATCTAATTAATGCACTTTTTAGGTGTTTTAAATCACGACATTCCCATCCATTCGCGTGAATCATCCCATTGCAAGAATTATATGAGTTTCCTTTACTTTTTTCAAATATTGATATAGTGATATTTGAGTGAACATATATTTTATATCTTGAGATGTTGGTAGTTGGCTATGTTTGTGATTGTATTTAGCGTATGTTGGGACTATTAAGTTGGTAGACATCGACCAAACCAAAAAGAGTTGGCAAGACTCAAGACGCACACTAGCACGCTGCACTCTAAGAGTATGCGGATACGGGAGAGCTGTGACCGAGGCGAATAGTATAATACTAATGGCCAGCCTAGGTGGGAATACCTACAGTGGCATTAATTAGAGCCAGCGCGGGGACAGTGGGCGTTAAATATGTCTGTAATCACCAATGGATAAGTTCCGCATGTTCTCATATTAGCACGACACGTTTTAAAGCCGTTCTTAAGCAAACATTGTTGTGCTCGCGATGGCCCCCTCTGCTCCAGTGCAAGTGAGCTGGGGCCATCTCATTCGACGGTGATATGAGTCGGGCTCATGTCGATGAAGAGCTAGAATTACATCAAGATTACACTTTTCATTGACTTCTTTATCTTTAAATTTATCGTCATCTCATTTAGATTTTAGTCCATAATGTTTATGTTTTAATAGGAAACTAGCTAGGTCTTCCACTATACATAACCGTGTTAATGCATTTCTTTAGTCAGCTTTTGACCAAAAATCTCTCTTGTGAGCTCGAGTCTTTTGAGTTTCTTTATACGTCACGATAGAGACATTTGTGCGATACTCGGGATATCAGTTAGCTTTTGATCAATACCGTAGAATTGTTGAGTTATTGCCAAGTTTCGACGTGCTTTCCCCTTTTCTCGATCTTTTATCCGATTTTCTTCCCTTTCGTGCTATCCTTATTTTCTTCACCCTTTGTTTCGCTTCCGTTCCCCATCACCGACGCGAGGCAACAGCAGCTCCGAGCGGGGGCTAAATCCACAGGGGAAGGCTTAAAAAGTTTCTCAACAATGACAATTTTCGAGAGGGTCATCATTGGTATCCAAAGCTAGTTGTGTCTCCGCGATGGCTGCAAAGTTAAAGGGCTGCCAATTTGGCATCAAATGATTGGATCCAACTCGAATAATCTCTTATGCTGCCGTTTGGTCGTCAATGGTTTTCCCTGGATATATAAGAAAGACCACGTCACTTTGGTTCTCTAGAATGGTTGTCAAATTTGGTTCTCTAGCTTGGTCATTCCCTTGAAGTGGCGTCTGATGGTGCGATATTCCATGTCAAATAGGATTAACCAAAAAGTGTCGAGGTTTTGGTCTTCTAGACAGCCAAAACTTGTGCGGTTCGGATTGCATTGTACACACCAGTGATTTTGGCCAATGGATTTTTCGATCTTACTAAGATTATCTTCGGCGTGCAAGTCCCAATTCTTGAACAGGCCACTACAAGCCGGTCAACAATCAAGCCACAACAACAGGTGGATGGGCAATGTTTGAAGTAGCTGGCTCCTCTGCTTCTGATTAAGTTATCATAACCCAAATGTTGCTCCAAAAAGCACTATCGTCTGCTTCTCCACAGCGATACACCACTTTGGACTGAAGAAAATCTTTTCTGAGTAGTTGGAATTTGGCGGTAATCCTCTCACATCTGTCATCTTCAAGCTGAAGATATATATGGCTGTTATCGGGCCCTTCAGGGCATCGCCAAACCCCAAAAATAGTGTAAACGTGCATTAGATTTTGCCATCAAAAGTAGAAATTTTTCACAAGTTAGATTCCAAATTCATGGAAATCAATAAGTAGCTAGTCTAAACCGACGAAGCCTGCTAGAATTTCAAATTTAATTTTTGAGTTTTATTTCTCACATTCTTCAATTTCCTCTTATATTTCTAATTCTAAATGAAAGACCCTTGAAATTGATTCCGCTTTGGATATTTCGTTGCCTTATAACAATTTCTTGTAAATTGATTCAAGCACCACGGGTGCGTCTTGTCAAATCTTTTCTTTGCCGTATAATCTCGGCGTATGCGTCCCAATCCAAGGAAGGGGCAAGTGAGTTCAACCAGCGCTAAAAGCAATCTTTCGATGAGGAGATGGCCATATATATTATGCACAAATTTCTCTGTGTAAAATTGAGATGTGCGCCTTAATATAATTTATTCGTTGAATGGTATCCTTTTTCATATGAATCGTACTATATGATGTTGTTAGTTGCCTACAAAATTTTCCTAACACAACAACCAGGAGAATTTTATATGCAGCTAAACAATAGTATTATAATATAGGGAGAAAATAACAAAAATATTTCAAGGAAATACTTAACAGGGGGAGCTACGAAATTGCTGTCGTGCAACGTTAAATCTATTAAACTAATGCCCTTTTTTTTATAAAAAAAAATTTTGGTTGCTGTTGCTGTATTGAAAAAAAAAACTCCTAGGATTTGATGAGGCAAGCACAAATACTAATCGGTGGAGAATGCAAGAAAAGCATTCCTTTCAAGGAGAATGATCGATCCTTTGTAAATTGGAGTTACACGCGTCGGTTTTAGAAGCAATTCTTAAAGGAAGTGCTTGTTACCGTATACCCAAACTCTCATATAAGCAAAGAGAGCTCTTATCGTTTAGGGACCTTAAATCTTTCTCTCTTTTTCTCGAATATTCTCAAATACTTATTTCGCAAGTGCTGTACACCTGCTCAAATACGTAGAGTAATAATTGCATTTTATCAATATTGAAATTTGAATCTTCTTTACTCCATAAAAAGAAAAAAGAGAGAGAGGTCAAATCTCGAGATTCTTTTATCTTTCTACATATACAATTTCTTCGGACGGCGTAGTTTCACCAATAAATTCTATCCATGTTAAATGCTCAAATATTTCAAAATAAATGATTTTGTTAATTCCGTAATATCAAACCGAGACACTCTTGGCGCGAGCTTTTTAGCTTGTTCAGCAAGGAATCCATCCCCGCGCTTCAGATTCTCCTCCTCTCCCTCTCCCTCTCCGAGGCGACGATCTTCTTCCTCCGACTTCCTTCAAATCGGCCTAGGGCTTCGTAGCAATTGCACCGGCCTCTTCTCGATTCGGCCGCGAACGGGTAGCTGCTCCGATCTAGTTCGTCTCCGACATGGCGCCTGGAAAGAAGAGGTCCGGCGCCGGCACTTCTCGCGAGGAGGCTCCCGTCAAGGTCCGCGCGAAGGGCCCCAGGAAGAAGGAAGAGATGAAGGACGAGGACATGGTGAGTGCGCTTTTGGCGCTTCATTTCGTTTTCCTTCTTCGTGTTCGATTTGAGTGTGTCGTTGAATGCGGGATGTTGCGGCTGGGTGAGTGCCCTTTGTGTTGCTTCGGTTGCTGTTGAAGTTGGTGATTTGATGAATTGAGAGTCGGAGTGAGGATTCGGATTCAGAGTCGGTAGTCGGGTGCGGTCTTTTGTGGTTTGGACTTTTGGCGTGTCGTGGCAATGGTACCGGTTAGTTGCTGAGGTGATTATGGAGGAGCTGGAGTGCGTTGATGAATTCCTTTTCGTTAAGTTCTGTTTGTGAACGTATTTGCAGTCAGAAGAAGATTTGGCACTGAAGCAGCAGTTGGAGCTGTATGTGGAAAGGGTTCAGCATCCTGATCCTGGGTTACGGAAGGTTGCTCTGAAGAGCATGAGGTACTTCTGGTCCTGGAGATATTTTTTTGCTTCCATTTCTTCTCCTACTCAGCTATTAACTTATGGGAAACGAACAAATCTACATTTAGCTTGTCATTTTCGGTATAAACCAACTCTGTAACTATAGGGAGAAGACTAGAGAATGGGCGTGGGGTGTTTAATGGGGAGAACTCGGTCTTATTTCTTTTAGACTAAAGAAATCTTTACGGCATGCATTTTTACTGTGAACTTAGATGTTAGAAACTATTCGAGCATTACGTGGATCAAATCAGAAGGGGCTGCTAGAAATGAGATGGTCCTTAATTGACACTGGTTGTGGTTTGAACCTAATAATGAAAAAGATGTCTCACGAAAAGAGGGGCTGTCTACGTTTATCTTTCCAATGTGGTCTGACGACACCGATAATCGTCTTTGTAGACGAGAAATTCGTGCTTCAACAAGTTCAATGACTTCAGTTCCGAAGCCCCTGAAGTTTCTCCAACCTCATTATGGAACTCTTAAGGCGTATTATGAAACAATGAAGGATTCATATTTGAAGGTGAAGTATGGATTGGCACGGTATTGTTTGCTAGGATACTTTATCTTAATCGCAGTCAATGATCTGGTTTACGTTGATGAAGAGATACCTAGCGGACATACTCTCTGTTTTGGCCTCGACAACGTCTGCTGAAGGGGAACGGGTAATTCTTCTTGTGACTCAAAATCGTATTTTGCTGGCCATTATTTCCATGACTTGCCTGTAGGATGACAACTTATGGAAACTCCGATCTTCTATATCCCCGTTGCCATTGTTCTAAACAAGAATTCGTCATTAGTCAGTATCGGTATCTTTTGAAATCATGCCTCCTGACGTATGATCATTTCACTGAATAGCCTGCATTTATTTTAGGTGTAGACGTCTTCCGTGACCTTGCCAAGTTCACTTCTCCAACTCCCTTGTAGATTTGATGTTGATTTCTTTCTTTTGTGAATGGTGTAATTGTTTCCAGGAGTGTCTGAAGTACAGGTTGTTAGGTTCAGAAGGTGATATTGGCTCTTGGGGCCATGAGTATGTCAGGTAATCTATCTTGACGTTGGGTGTGATATATCTCACGTTCCATTGGTTCCTTTTTCCCTCTCCTTTTAATATGAGGTTAAAAAGACTGTAACTTTTGCTATAAATTCATGGATAATTATAGTGAACTGTTGATTCTTTTGAACGTCATTGAGGATTCTATAATAATTGCATCTGTTGTGTATAATCTCATTATTTCCCACTTGTCTGATGATACTGATATCTCGATAAATTTTATGCTGATAGGGATGTGATGTGGGTTGAGAGTAAAAAATTTAGCTAAATTTTCAGTCTATCTAGACAAAGACGTGGTCCGTAATGGTTGCTGGTGAATGAATTTATTTGCTTGCCATTGTTGATTTGATGTTTTATGTAAGCCACTGGTCAATGTCCCACCTTTTAAGTTGTCGTTACCTGGGTTATAATGGTGAAGCTCCGCTATGTTCGTAAAGAGGGACACGTATTTACCGCTGTCCAGAGTTCTCAATTAACATGATCTTTCTGCAGTGGCCTCTTCTAGATGCCTAGTTATGTTGATACTTCTTGAATCTGGTACAGCTATGTGCCGTTAGTACGAGGATTTCTCTGCTCTGCATCAGCCCACTCTTTTAGTGGCTGTGAATTGAACTGTGGACCAAAAAATGAAATCAAATTTTTTTTTCTCACTTGCTGATCCTTTACTCCAACTTTTCATCAACCATGGAGGACGTGTTTCTCTTGAACACATAGGATGGAAAATAGGGGAATCTTGGTTCGTTAGACTATATATACATCCAGAGTCATTGCTTATCTATTGATTGTATGTATTACATTTTAATACATGGGGAAGGATACGGTCATGCTGCTGTCTCTTTGTTCTCTCAATTGTGAAATCCTCGCGGAAGGGTTATTTTGAACGTTATTCATTTTCCGATACTTGGTGCATGATCTCTGTCTTGAGATACTGGTTGTTGAGGAATTCTTGTTGTTTTGTGCTTTATCTAGACGTTACATTGCACTTTGTCTTACCTTAAAATTAACATCTGACATCAGGAATTTAGCTGGGGAAATTGCTCAAGAATATAAAAAGCGACAGGTAATGTTGGCAAGTCCATCACTGTTTTCTTCACATCATGTAAGACAGGTTCTTAAACTCTTTCTTGAAGTGCTCTTCCGTTGCCTGCTTATATTTACATTAGTTTCCATTCTGGTGGTACATGATGTGTCACATCTGGCTTTCGCTAATTAATGTACTGTGGCTTAGTTCTATAGTTGTAATTCCATCAGTGATCCCTAACAACAACACCACCTGTATTTAAGATAATTTGTCTATGTAATTGGTGACCCCGGATATTCTTTGTCATGGTGTTTTGACCTATATATATGTTTGACAACGCCTTTTAAACCTTGGCAGAGTGAGGAGGCTCCTATAAATGATCTCATGGAGCTTGTACAGCAAATTGTAGCTTTCCATATGAAGGTATGTATCATTGTCTAATTTTCATGTCGGCAGGAAATGGATTAGGATCATTATATGCAGAAGACACTTTAACAGATAGATTTGTAACTTTTGATGACGCGTTAGTAAATCATTTTATTTTGTTGCAGCACCATGCTGAACCTGAAGCTGTTGACCTGTTAATGGAGGTAAAGTAAATTATTCATGCCAACCTTTTATTTTGTAGTGAGGCTGTTTTGAAGTGAATCTAAGACTATTAAATGACTTCCAGGTCAAACACCTTGATATGTTAATGGAGCATGTTGACAGCACTAACTTCAAGAAGACATGTGTATACCTCACAAGTGCTGCAAGGTACATGGAATTTTTGTCATCAAAACGGTGCATAACAGTCAGGGTAATTCACTATGGATTGCTCAGAAAATGGTCTAGGAGCTTATTGGTTGAGGACTGACTCATGAGTGTGCCTTTTGTCCCAATCAATTCTTTCTTTTGTATCGGTTGCAGAAACCTTCCTGGACCTGATGTCACGTTAGGTCTGGATACGGCTTACAAGATCTATCTCAATTTTGACGACTACGCCAATGCCCTTGAGATGGCACTGTCCCTAGATGATAAGCAGGTTATTTGGATATGAATAAGCATCTTTTCCTTTCAAGTTGTGTACAGGAATTTCTTGTGAGGAGTTCCGCATTGCCACATATTGGATCTCTCTCTCTCTCTCTGTGGGAATCTAATCTAACCCGTGAAGGTACACATGCAGTATGTGAAGCAGGTCTTCATGTCTTGCGGTAATTTTGCACGGAAGAAACGATTCTTCTATATCCTTGCTCGACATGTGAGTTGTTTCTCAGCTATAATTGAAATGCATCTTTAATCCTTGCTTCAGATATAGTCGGCGTACATGGCAAGATTGCCTGGGGTGATTTTGATAGTAATTTGCTATTTTTTTGTGCAGGGTAGTATCACCTTTGAGCTTGATAAAGAGATGGTTCCAGATGACGATGAAAGAAAGGCATTGGAGGAACTCGTCGACAATATTAAAGTAAGCGAAGGTTATCTTACTCTTTGCCCACGATATTGAGGTTATGCAGCCCAAATCTCTTGAAGACATTTACAAGGTTTGAACGGTTGATAATTGTTCATGCTTTCTATGACTTGATCTGATCTTGGTTACGAAAACTCATTAACTTGTTTTATCATCAATACTCGAATCAAGCTCTTGGATGCATCATGTTGTATGGCGCTGCAAATGTAATGGGAGCTGTGTGATTGTTTCTTCATTTGCTTAGGAGTAATTGCTGCTTTTTTTTTTTAGGGGAGTATGCTTATGTTTTTGCCTTTGATTTACAGGCAGCAAGATCTCTTTCTGTTAAAAATATTAACTTCAAAACCTCTGAGGAGGATTTGAGAAGCCATTTCGTCAAATTTATGGAAGCGAGGAACATTCTTAATGTCTCGGTAGTCTTTTGATCCACTAGAATTGATGTTGTGATTTGTGATCCACGACTATTGATCAACATATTTTCGTTATGTGCACAGATAAAAACGCGCATTGCGACGGGGACGCAAGTTTCAGCAGGTTGGGGGCAAATAGAATTTGATTCAGTGAGGACAGCCACCAATGTTCGCCAGATTTTAAATGTAAGCCTTTCTTTTTCCCTCTTGATAAATTACCGTTTAGTAATTTCCTCATAGTATATTTGTCTTCTCTCCAGAGAACCATCTTAGATGGACGCGCGCTTACTTTACAACTTTGCCGACCGGTTGAACCAGTGCCGAGTTCAACCACATTATTTGTGGGCAACATTGCTCCTTCGGCCACTGAAGAGGATATAAGGAAGATTTTTTGCCCGTTAGGGAAGGTAATCTAGCGTCTTCATCGTGGATTAATTGAGGGTGTGACTGATATTTGTGATTCGATAGGTGAAGAGTGTGACGCTGCCACTGCCGCCTTTGGGAACTAAAAGACGAATTGGATTTGTCGAGTACTCAGCAGAGCAGGAGGCACAGAGTGCTCTTCAAAGGCTGGGGGACACCTATCTGTTTGGATGGCGTTTGGTAAGTCATTTTCAATTATTCCGAAAAATGTCCTACAAAGCTGAGCTATAACTGTGTTCAGGTGATAGAAAAAGCTAGGGAAAAGAAAAACAGAGACAATCAAACAGTCCGGCGAAGTTAATGAGGAAGACGAGGATCGATTGAACTTCAACAGAATGGCTGCAGGTGAAAGAATTGTTTGAAGAGACAGTACCACACATCATTCTTTGGTTGACCTTACACGTGTATTCAGGAATAAGCTTTGCAGGAGTCGGGAGACCAATACTAACATTGCAGCGTAATATAGAGTTTTGATCGCTTAGCAGGACATCTTACTTACCCGTTTGTTTGGAATTCTTGCCGTTGGACTTGTGTTCTACTAAGCACAGCTAAGTTTACGTCGCTGGCTTGTAGTTGAACGTGTGACGTGGCAGTGCACCATGATTGAACATCTGAGTAAACATGCTTGCATCATGATTGAATGTCTTAGTAAGATGCTTTTTCGTAACAGGGACACACGATTCACGTTCGGGGTTTTGTCAATTTTCGTTCGTATTCAATGCCTTTTGGACTCTCTTTTTGATTTGCTCAATTGAATACATAAAATTGAATACATAGGTACGCGCACATCTAGATACACAGGTGGAGAGAGATTGGGAGGATGTTGGGCAAATCTATAAAAAAAGAAAAGTAGGGAAGCGTTGTTTCTTCATTTGCTTAGGCCTTTGTGCAAATTGAAAAAGAGAGATTTAAGAGGCCTCTCGGCCTTTGGGTTTGCAATAAACCTTTTCAAAATCATTTAATTTTAGTAGGTTCAATGATATAAGTCTAGTTACGTCTCATTGAATTCGCTCGTTTATCATATCGTCTGTTTTTTTTAATTGTGTGGGACAGCGGGCCTAATACGACGCGACCGTTTCACTATGACTCGGCCCTATTAGGTCCAACCCGGTACGGGTTGAGTGTTTCGCTCATTTTAATTAGCTGTTATTATATTTTGATTACTTTTGGGGCTCGCAGGAATTGGCTTAAAGCTCAAGATCACGAGCATCATTACTTTTTGTAATGCAAACAGTAAGCTGGTTAATCATCACAGATTAGCCTTCATATATGTCCTATTATCATTATTAGCAACGGATATGGTGCTTGCCTGCGGGGAGTGGCTAAATCCAGGGAAAAAGAACTTGTCCATAGATTTGATTCATCCGCTCCTCCTGATACAATTGGCTTTTTCATAGCCGAGTTTATTTCCAGCAAGGAAACCTGAAGCTGGAGCCAGCTGCAACTCGTGAACTTCGATTAATGCAGACTAAACGAAGAATCGCTCTAGTCTCGCATCGTTTCTCTGTGGCTTGTGCAACATCCATTCTTGACGCAAGAAAATATTCGATATGGAGGAAGAGTCGTGGGAACGAGGCAATTAGCCTGACGTCCACCCTACACCCTAAACCGCGAAGGAACTACTTAATTGATTATGCTAAAGTATTAGAGCTAGGATATATCACGAGGAGAGGTTACCGGTGTTTTGGAAGGAGACGAAAAGAAATTCAAGAAAAGTATTACTTGCTCGTGTTAAATTAAATTGCTTTTAGATGGTTTTGCAAATTTGCTTGGGTGTTTGGTTCTTGTTGATTTGATTGGATGGATGAGATCCGTTCTTTGCCACCGTTTGATTGTTAAGCCGCACACTTCCCACTCTGGATTGCCTTGTTGAAAGCTCGAAGAGGTTCAGTGAAATTTAGTACTTAGACTGCCCGTATCCACGATTTGTTGGTAACACAAATGGTTAATTCTCTGAATATATGTGCTGCTGCATACACGCACAAGACAACAATGAAATGGGTTTAAAAAAAAATTAAGTCAAATAACTGGATTCACAACACTTAGGCTAAGCCAGGTATTTTGCTAGAACTAGCAAAGTCAACGACTAGTTGGTCGACATCATGGAAAAAGCGGAAAAAAGAACTTATGGCATGAGTTCAAGTCCCACGACAACAATCCTAGAATCCTATTACCTGTCTTGTTCCGCCAGAGACCCCGTTGGTTTTTATTTCTAACTGTCGAACCCATTTCCTCGGGCATTTCTATCGTAAAACCCGCAATTACCATCTTCAGTGAAACTCCATGGTCCCCCCCATCTCATATCAATACCCATTTTCACATCTTCACTTGGTGGCATGATGTATTCAACCCAATCCGGGTCTTGGACTAGGAATCGTTCCTGCTCGGAGTTCAGGGCTTCCAAAACGGGGCTAGGATGGTGAACCTCAAGTGGCTGCACAACATACTCTCCTCAACATACTAAGAAACTCCTGAGTGGGTCTACAGGAGGAGGTAGACATCACATTTATGTCATTTTCCTTGACTCGTCTTCCCTTCAGCGATGGTTTTATTTACAATTGTTTTCGCTACAACATATTCATGATTCGAGATTATGATTATCCTCTCGAAAAGAATGTTCATCATGGTGGACGATTCTCCCCATTATGAGCCACAAAGATCTTCTAAATCAGGAAGGCATACTGCTTCAAGCAGTAAGCCAATCGCACGACGTTCAGACAAGTTCTCTTCACGCTCAAATGATGGAAGGCATACGTCTTTTGGAGGAAAAACAGGGATGAGCACCAGTTTAGAATCAGGAAGAACTTCGAATTTGCGAGAATCATCTTCCCCTTCTGCAGAGGCTGTCAACGGGGATGATGTCACTTCACCAACCTGATACAAACGGCGGTAATCACAGATCTTCTGAAATGGATGGCGTCCAGATTTCTTCGTCGCTTGCATGCATGAGTCGCAGATTTCTTCATCGCTTGCATGCTTGGGTGAGGACTCCGACCTTAATTATGATTTTGGTGGAAAAATTAATGGGTTGAGCACGGCAGCTCCCCTGCAGGTAATTTGGTAATTTACATTTCTTCAATTGGATAGTTCTATGTATGTCAATCTGGATGCCGCTAGGTTTAATCTATGGTTATTAATGCAGGAGGATTTCTTTGCTTCTGTGGTAACTTAATTGTCCCATTAATTTTGTTTTGAGCCCCTTCTAGAAGCTTTTTGGTCCTTAGTCAATGTCCGTATTTTTCCCCTCGTAGAAAGAGGAGTGGAAGGCGACTGAGAATTAATGTTTAATGATGCTATAGGAGATAGATTGCAGCGAGAATGGTGGTGTGAAGATAAATTCTTATGAACCTTCCATTTATGATGATAGCAGAGCAGAGTCATATATGAACAATCAAGTTTGACATAGTTTGTGCGCTTCTGACATGACAAGATGTAAAAGCATGACAAAAGCAGGCATGGTGTCCTAGCAACTTCAGGCGTGGTGTCCTAGGAAAGAGTTGCCCCGGCTGAATGGATCGGAGGGAAGAACTAAAGTTCAATGGACACGAGGAAACTTAGGAGTTTTGATGAGAAAGTACGGAAAGCTGCTCGAGAACTTGTGATGCTGGCAACCACTTCTTGGAGAACCATATCGGTCTGGAATTTAATGAAGAAACTTAATAAGGACGGTATATGCCATGTGGGTCCTTGTGAAAAATATTCTTGTCACGGTTCACGGATAATGCTTATTGACATGCCCAGTGTGTCTGTGTTTACAGTTGAACCAAAGACACGGAGGGAATGGAGCTCAGGATGACCATCCATCCCAGCTTACATACCTATGTGTCATTGATGATATACATTGTTATGTAAATGTAAATAGACTAGTGCCTCATTGGGTCTTTGACCCACAGTCAAAGCTGTACGACAACCGGCAGGTTTAAAACTCATGCGGGACCCTAAAATTGCCAATTAAAAGTTTTCCTGATAAATTTATGTTGCTTCATTTAGTTTTGAAGTTTCTTTGATACTAGCGTATTTAAGGGGTTTGTTTTTCTTGCAGGTAGTAGATATAGGAACATTTAGGAGAAGAGAATCGTCAATTAAGGGAAAGGTGATTATGATGTGCTTTACTATGATGCGATGTGCTTGGTTCTTCTCTTGTTTGATTAATTCTCTGCATCAAATTGATCTCCTTGTTGTTTACAGATTGGCACAGCAGGACGAAGAAATTTCGAGTAAGTTGCAGTGTGATTTGCAGACTAAGGGAGACAGGTGGAGAACTCTTGAAAATCAGGTGAGTGCTTTGCCATTGCAATTAGGGGTGTGCAAAGGAACCGGGAACTACCAGGAGCCGGACTGAACCGGCCTAGAACCGGCGGTTCCCATGAAAACTGGTCCGGTTCCCGGTCCCAATTTACTAGAACTGGTGGGTACCGGTCCGATTCTCGGTATGAGGTGCGGAACCGTCCACCCGGACCGGACCGTTATGAGCCTTATAACGCTTGTAGTAGAGGTTCCTTGTAACACTCTGTTCAAAGTGCATTATGCATTCTGGTGGTTTGTAGTGAAGATGGAAAAACAATAGATTAAAGACCATCCATAGAACTGAAGTAGTTATCCATGTCATATTAACTTCACGTTCAATTTTTCTTATGTGCGAAGACAGGTCTCAATATATGGACGGAGATTCTGTTCTGAGTGTCTATAAGTGCTTGTTGTAATATATTGCCGTCAAATTTGTGCCCTTGGTTGTGAAGATCATCCTTCCTATCCTTTAGGTTGGTTTTCTTTCACATGATGGAGTTAAAGTTTCTCATTGCCCAGTTGCTGCAATGAAAATGCTGAGTTATACAGTTCTCTTTGGTGCTTTGGCAATTTTTTAGTGAGTGCGATGGTATTAATTGACGAATGCAACTTTGTAGGGATTGGGGACCCGTTTCAATTTTTCGGAAACGGTTCTTAGTGGGCGGTCTCCGGTTCCAGGGTGGGAGCCGCACACCTGGACCATGCTCAATCCGAATTTCAATGCCAAGATGTTACAACTTGGATATTCATCTGACATGGACTCATAACTTAGGAATAGTCTCCAGAGCCTATATGGCAAAGTTATCCAAATTAATGTGTTCCTCAAGTCTTTATTTTGTCTCTGTACTACTTTATCAGCCCCAAGATGCCCAACAAAAAGTAGATCAATTGAACAGGGAGCAAGAAAATTTGATTGATATTTTTCAAGAGGAAAGGGAACGAGGAGAAACTGACGAGCAGAACCCGAGGAAGAAAACGAAGGTCGTCCCCAGTTTTGCAAAATATCACTGTGCCATAGCGTTTTCTTGTTGTTGTTATTGGGAATTGGATGGCCTTAAACCTTTTTTCCCCTATTCATCTACATTTTTGTGGGAAGCTTTTACTGCCATTCAAATAGAATATTTTTTGGTGTAAAAAGTTTCAAATTCGGGATCTTCCGCTGCACGAATCTCGCAAGGGCATACTTGAGCCTTTTCCCCAGGGATCCCCGTTACATAGAAAAAGTGAGCCACTGGTTGATATATCGAAGCTCCATCTATAAATAAATTAGTCCATGGTCTGCATATGA